CAATCGTGATTGCTCCCAGTTTCTCTGTTTTCCAATCTCAAATTTCAGTTCTCCACATTTCCATGCCAGTGTGCATTTTTGAAAAATAGTCCTCATGAAATTTCACCAGCATTTTAGTGCAAATTTCCCACAATTCATACATTCATTTAAGTTTAAGTTCAGCAAAATTATGGCACATCTTCCACACCATGTCTGTCTTGGCTCTGAATAGAGAGAGAAATTTTCTCTCATATAAAGCTGCCTCAAGCTACTTGTCCATCAGGTCCTGTATTATAATTTGACAAGAGTGTTTTCCCCCATGGTTATCTGACGCTATGGTCAGACATTGTACCCATGAGTAAGTAGAATAGATGAGCAGGAATGAGTGGGGATGAGTGTCCTAGCTTTGCCCCCTAGTTGCCATCTCCCCTTCCACTAACTGGAGGGTGACCATCTGCAGTGGGGAGCCAGCTGTGCTTGAAGGACAAGAGATATAGCTCTGTGGTAGAGCATCTATTTTGCATGCAGAAGGTCCCAGGTCCAAACCCACCCCCACAACTTCTCTTGGAGAGCACCTACCAGTCAGAATACTAAGCTAGATGGACAATGGTCTGACTAAGAGCAAGGCAGCTTTCTCTATTCCTTTGGAGATACCCCTAAGAAATGCAGGAACCTGATTTTCAAGGGTTCCACATCACACAGAGATCCTACTTTAGTATAACAGGCTTCCTGCTGAAGATGGTAATGCTCCAATTCATTGGCTGCAGACTGAGGACTGGGACTGGCCACCAGGACCATACAACACCTGTCCTAAAATATCTGCATTGGCTCCCAATATGTTTCTGAGCACAATTCAAAGTGTTGGTGCTGACTTTTAAAGCCCTTAATGGCTTCAGCCTTATATACCTGAAGGAGCATCTCCATCCCCATCGTTCAGCCCAGACACTGAGGTCCCACTCCAAGGGCTTTCTGGTGGTTCTCTCACTGTGAGAAGTTGAGGTTACAGGGAACCAGGCAGAGGGCCTTCTTGGTAGTGGTGCCTGCCCTGTAGAATGTCCTCCCATCATGTGTCAAAGAAATAAACAACTACCAGACTTTTGGAGAACATCTGAAGGCAGCCCTGTATAGGGAAGTTTTAAATGTTTGATGATTTACTGTGCTAATGTGTTTAATTTGTTGGAAGGCACATAATAATAATAATAATAATAATAATAATAATAGAAGATCGTGATGGGACTGGTGGTCCAGCTACTATCTGACCTGCCTAACAACTAAGTTGGACTAGCCAGATTAGAGGACTTTCCCATCACTTGACCAGTTTAACTGGAGATACCAGGGACTGAACCTGAGACCTTCTGTCTGCAAACTCTGTGTTCTACCACCAAGCAAAGGTCCTCGTGATCCTACTGTTTTGCCTTTAATTCAAGCAAACTTCTCACCTTTGGTGGACGTGCCCAAGGATTAAGGCCTTCTGGGAAATGATATATAATGAACTGAAAAAGGTATTTAAACATACCTTCTTGAAGAAACCAGAGGCCTTTCTCCTAGGCATAGTCGGCCAATTGGTGCCAAAGAAGGACAGAACTTTTTTTATGTATGCCACAACAGCAGCAAGAATACTCACTGCAAAGTATTGGAAGACACAAGATCTACCCACTCTGGAAGAATGGCAGATGAAGGTGATGGACTATATGGAACTGGCAGAAATGACTGGCAGAATCCGAGACCAGGAGAAGAGTCGGTGGAAGAAGATTGGAAGAAATTCAAAGATTATCTACAGAAATATTGTAAAATTAATGAATGTTAGAATGATGTTGGATAGAAATTAAGTGGTTTCCAGCTGTAATGCTTTAAGGGAATATGAAAAAGGGTTATAAATAGGTAAAAATCTAATGCTATTATTTTTAAGATCAAGGATTAGGATAATTAAAGAGGGTAAGGATTTGCTGAACCAACAGATTGAAGTGGAATACAAAAAAGGGAGGTATGAGGAGGTCCGGGAAACAAGCTAAAGGAAAATAAGTAATGGAAAATCTGGGTGTTTTTAACCATTTTTATTTTGTATTTTTGTTATTTTTTTTTTCATTTTTATTGTAATATTTTAAAAAAATCTTAATAAATATCTTATATAAAAAAAAATTCAAGCAAACTTAATTAAAACAATAATAATAAAAAGAGCACTATCAAACCAAAGCAAGTCATCTAGATATCAGGGTGGGAATCTTCAGCACACATGCAAGACAGTGGCAGCGGCTGCACACTAGAACCGGTAGGGCAGTAACAACAACAACAACAACAACAATTATTTATTATTTGTACCCAGCCCATCTGACTGAGTTTCCCCAGCCACTCTGGGCGGCTTCCAACAGAAATTAAAAATACATTAAAATGTCACACATTAAAAACTTCCCTGAACTTGCCTTCAGATGTCTTCTAAATGTCAGGTAGTTGTTTATTTCTAGGATAGCAAGCCAGGAGCCCAACCGTAGGTGGCGCCAGAGCCAGTTATAGGCAGAGCCAAGTAACTCTAGTTCCATCCCCACTCTGCTGAGTTCTGCAAGGGCAACACAGAGGCTAAAGAGAAGAAAGCTGATCGGCAGTGCTACCCCCCTGGACTAGTAAGAAAGAAGGCAAACAACTGGAGGCTGGTTGACAGGAGACCGAAGTTGGTGGGGCAGTGCCCCTTTCTCCTTACTGAAGCAGCCTCCACTGCTGCAAGTTGTCCTTTGAAGTCAATGATACTAAAAAGTGACTAACATTGGCTGTATCCCACTCTTATTTTTCAAGTTTTTCTAAGGAACAAAAAATGAAACAGTTAAAACATTTGACACTACAATAAATTGCCGGAGCTTAGTTTCCATGGTTATTTTGCAAGGGACTATTCTCTGGTTAATTATAACGTCAGTGAGCTTATCAAAAGGTTTTGGTGAATCAGACGCTCTGGATGTTCCAGCTAGAGGACTGCAGGACTGACCTTTGGGTCAGAATATTTGTTTCTTTAACAATGCATATCTGATTTGTACCAATAAGTTCCCAAAGGTACTGCACATGGAAGGTTTTGCTGCTTGAAAACCAGCACCACACATTCAACAGGGAAGATGTGGACTTTCCCAAGTTTTGTGGTCCACAGCAAAGTCACCGGACTTGCGGAATTCACTTTAGCATGCAAAGCCTGGCTTTCCAGTGGCACTTTGTCCATTGAAAAACACCTCAGACCAGGAGCAAGACTTGTGGGCCTTGTCCTGATTTCCTGTGTTATTGGGGTCACCAGAAGTAAAAGTTAGGTCCAGTCATGACCGACTCTGGGGTTGCGGTGCTCATCCCGCTTTATTGGCCGAGGGAGCCGGCGTACAGCTTCCGGGTCATGTGGCCAGCATGACTAAGCCGCTTCTGGCGAACCAGAGCAGCGCATGGAAACGCTGTTTACCTTCCCGCTGGAGCGGTACCTATTGATCTACTTGCACTTTGACATGCTTTCGAACTGCTAGGTTGGCAGGAGCAGGGACCGAGCAACGGGAGCTCACCCCGTCGCGGGGATTCGAACCGCCGACCTTCTGATCAGCAAGTTCTAGGCTCTGTGGTTTAACCCACAGCGCCACCCATGTCCGTGACCGTGGGGTCACCAGAAGCTTGTGCCAATTCAGTCTATTGGTTAATCTAGTACAGTACTGTCTGCACAGACTGGCAGCAGCTTCCCTGGGTCTCAGGCACTCCCTGGAGAGGTTGGGATTTCACCCGAGATCTGCCACAGCCCTTGTTCAGAGAAGAAGACTTTACGTAGGGATGGAAGTAATATAAAGCAAATTCAAAACCCAACAAGAAACTGTGGCTTCAGATTGTGAACAAACAACCATTAAGCTGCTGGAAAGGTTCAGATGACGCTTTCATCCGACTGCTTTCATCTGATTACTGTACCACGGACTCAGCTACATTAGTAAAAATTAGACGTTATAAATGTGTTGCAACACTGTGATACCAGATGGTGCTGTAGAGTTGAAATCAGAACTCTATGAAATTTAACATTGTGAGCTTTAAAAGGTTTTTTTTAGAGTGTTTCTTATAGCTGTGTAGATGCAGCCCACGACTGGGTTTGCTTCTGTTATATTTCCCCTATGTTGTGATGGCTCTGTACTTGGACCTGTTGTTGTGACTGTTGATATTATTCTTTGTTCTCGCCTCTCCTTCTAATTCATTTGTAACTGAAAATCATTAAAACACAAATTAAAACAACAGCAACACATGGCTTAGTGCTTGATGCAAACCAGGCCTTTCACAACCAGCCCCAAATGTTCACATAAACAGTCTGCTTCTTAAGGAAATTTCCCTAACTGAGGTGCTAAATGATCTTCTTGAACTTCCAAACATAATGAAGGATAAGAGGGGAATCTGTCGGAATCTTTAACAATGCAAGGAAGTTTGCTACTCATTCTATTATGATGATGATTATCAATCAGCCTTTTAAGATCGGCTCCATAAAGAACAAGCGAGCCATTAAAACATGCCGGCTATTTGCCTCCCAGTTCCCAACTTGGCACGGGGTAGCAGCTAGGCCTAGAAACTAACTTGAGGGGCTGCAATTTCTGAATGTCGATTAGGCTTGATACCATTTGGAAAGTGAATTTACGGCTTGGACGAGTTGTGAGATCAATATACCCTTTGGAGTTATGGGCTGGGCAGCCATGCCAGAGAAATTGCTATGCAAAGCCAAGGGGCAGGTAACTTTTAGAGCACTGAAAAGGGAGAGGTAATTAAGGCTGATCCCGACAAGACCGAAAGACAAATGAGGAGGTGCTATTTCATGTCAACGGGAAAGTTTTCAGATGAAAGCAGTAAGTCTTATGCAGAAAACAAAATTGGATACTGCTTGAGCGAACGAGGATATTCAGCTTGCTTTGTGTTGCCTAAAACAGATTTTCTGGAGATAATGCCTTTCTTGGCTCTTGGGGTGTCCAGTGTGGCCAACAGCACCTCTATCTCACTCCATATCTAGCTATCTAAGACGTGATAAACTAACTTATTGGGCAAGGGCCATTGCTCAGTGGTAGAGTGTCTGCTTTCAATGTATATGGTCCCAGGTTGGACCCCTGATCTGACTGTAACATCATCATCATCATCATCATCATCTCTATTTAAATCAGCAGACCTATATATAAGAATGGGATGCGGGTGGCGCTGTGGGTTAAACCACAGAGCCTAGGGCTTGCTGATCAGAAGGTCAGCAGTTCGAATCCCTGCGACGGGGTGAGCTCCCGTTGCTTGGTCCCTGCTCCTTCCAACCCAGCAGTTCGAAAGCATGTCAAAGTGCAAGTAGGTAAATAGGAACTGCTCCAGCAGGAAGGTAAACAGCATTTTCCGTGCGCTGCTTTGGTTCTCCAGAAGCGGCTTAGTCATGCTGGCCACATGACCTGGAAGCTGTATGCTGGCTCCCTTGGCCAGTAAAGCGAGATGAGTGCCGCAAACCCAGAGTCGTCTGCGACTGCACCTAACGGTCAGGGGTCCCTTTTCCTTTTATACCTAAGGATATGGAATTTGCCAGGATTTGCAGTCAAAAGCATCTGACAGATGGTTGTGGTGGGGGTCTTTTACTTTGCAGAAGGGAATACAGATAACAGCATCTGCTTAGGCTGGCAGGAAGGGAGATGCATGCTTTCACCTGAGACTATTTTAGAAGGGGAAATCGTAGCACACAAGAATAAGGGTGAGTTGCACCTGGGAGCTGCAGTGAGGCAATTGCTGACTCACTCTGGTAATGCTGGTGAATGGATTTTGGAAGAGAATATGTGCAAAGAATGTGGCACATTCCTCTTAGATGGTGAGGGCAAACTTTGGAGCTTGACTTGAAGCGCTGAGTTTTATAGTTTTGTTCTTTGCATCAGTATGTGTGTGTGTCTGAGGAGAAAAACTAGAAACATAGGGAACTGCTATTTGCCCATTTTGTGGGCACAGAGAATGAGGTGAGTTGCAGGAAGTTCAGTGAAGAGACACCCAAACGGGGTGATTGATATGGCCTGGAGAGAGGAGGTATAGACTAGAATGATAGAGTTGGAAGGGACCACGAGGATAATCTAGTTCAGGCATCAGCAACCTGTGGCCCACGGGCCGGAAGTGGCCCATGCAGGCTGTTTAACAGGTCCATGAGCCACCCCAGAACCGAGCCGGCCGCTTGGCGAGTCCCTGTGCCGCGCCGCTAACTGGTATAGCGCAGGGACTCACTTCCGCGGTGTCAGAAATTGTGTCTGCACACACGCAGACACCGGAAATTGCACTTGTGCATGTGCAGACTCATGCAGAAGCCAGAAATCATGGGCACTCATGCGCACTCGCTATCCGACCCACGGAGGGGGCTCCACAGGACTGATCTGGCCCAGGCAAGGTAAACCTTGCCGACCCCTGACCTACTTCAACCCCCTGCAATGCAGGAATCTTTTGCCCACTGTGGGGCTCAAATCCATGACCCTGAGATTAAGAGTCTCATGCGCCACCAACTGAGCTATCTAGGATGAGTTCTGAGAGCCAACTAGGGAGGCTTTCAGGGCTGCATTTGGCCCATGGGTCTGGGGTTCCTCACCCCTGTCCCACTGCATGGAAAATATATCCAGGCAGAAAATTGTCACATGTGTGACAGCCTTGAGCTTATTAACTACAAATCGCTTTCCTCCCTAGCCTCATCATCTTCCCCGAGAAGCTCTTCTTTGACATCTTTATGGGGCTTTTATTTGCACAAAAGAATTCCAAGGTCAGGCTTTAAATGTGAAAGATACTCCCTTCCCTGGAACATTTGATCACTCAAAAAACGGGAACGCAGCTGATGTGTTGCCATTCCATCTCTGTAAAGTGCAGCTGTATTTCTTGACGGGACCCATATGGACATTATAAAGACAATGCAAACTGTTTCTCCCCAATGCTCCAAGCACCAGCTTTCAAATCCAGGTTGTGGTTTTATGGACCCCGTAGATGCAACATGGTAAACTGTGCTTTTGTCTGCCAGGTTTCAGCTGATGCTATGCTTAAATAAAAACAAACCCCCCTCGAGCCAGAAGCAAGATTTGCCAGCTGTTTTCACAATGTTTACTGCACGGGTCTGGGGCCAGGAGTATTTGCATGGCATAATTTATACACATCCAAGGATAAAACATAGCTGGTAAAAATGGAGTTTAATACAAAGGGGATATCCATCCAGAGATGCCACATAATTCAATTCTGTGCCTCTCTAACCATTTTGAATTCAGTGGCATCTAGAGCTGCCTTGACCAGACTCAAATGATTCTCCCCTCTCCTACCCATGTGTGTCCCAATGCCCCCAAATCAGCTCCGGAGGATTGGGAGAAGCCCCAGAACAGATTTAGGGATGTGCACTGGGTGTATGGGCAGGGAGTCCCTTTTTGCAAGTTGACTGTGTTGTCCACTTAGCGCTATGTTAAATTCCACCCAATAAGAAAAATAAAATAAAAGAAGCAGTAAAAATACAACAGTTCTGGTTAAGGGTACAGACTCACTGAAGGAGCAAGTATATAGCTGGGGGCTGCTCCTTGAGGCATCTTGGTCCCTGGAGGTCCGAATGGCCTTGGTGGCACAGAGTGCCCATCACCGACTTTGTTTTTTGTTTAATTTTTATTAAATTTTCAATTTTATCATAATCACAATTCCATTACATAATTCCATAACCCGAAGCATTGCTCAAACTGAGCATCGACCTCCCCCTGTCCCCCTTTCTGTCTTCCCAAACATAATTACTTAATTCTTAGCATTTCTATAGCCACTTTTTTTACCTTCTCTCTTCTTTTTGTATTTCTCCTCATTAAATGTAAATCAGTTCCTTATATTCACAATACAAAACATTTCAACTCAAACCTACAAACGTTTTCAGATGTTTACAATGTTCTTTCATATATAATATCGGCAGCACATATTGGAACGATACAGAGAAGATTAGCATGGCCCCTGCCCATCACTAACTTTGGATGCAGTGACATCTACACCCATTTCTGAACAGAGAGAACCTGGCTACTGTGGTCCATTGTAACCCTTCAATTTGACTACTGGAATATATTCAGTGTGGAGCTTCTCTGTGCTTGGTTCATAAACTACAACTGCTAAGGTGTTTAGGGACACAAATATGGTGTTGAAATAACTGTACTGGTTACCTATAAGCTATCAAGCCATGTTCAAGGTTTTGTCATTGGCACATAAGGCTCTAAACATGTTGTGATCAAAATATGGAGCTGGCAGCTCAGATCTTCAGAGAAAGCCTTGATGGCTACACCCTGATCAGTAGAATTCCATCTTACAATATCTAGGAAGGTTCCTTCTCAGTGATCTAAGGCCCAAGGCCCTCCAAATATCCACAGATATCCATATGCACCAGACAAACACCTGAAAGGAAGTGTTCTCCATCTAGGAGAAGTAAAACTCTGTTCCTAAACCTCCACTGCCTTGTAGCTTTAACCATTCATGAGAAAGCCTTCAGGAGTAAACCCTGAGGAACAACCTGTATCTGCAGGAGAAGAAAAGGCTAAGGAGTAAATCCTATACAAATCTGGAGTGAAGTCCCTAAGATGGATGGTGCCTTGTATTCCTCCTTCTGGCAACTCCTACAGCCAACCTGGAGTCAAATGTATTGCTTTCCTTTCCTTTGGACCACATCAGTGAGGTCAATGGTTGTCTGGGCAGTCCAGGAGCTCTACGCACACTGTCCAGTCCTGCGCACCATGGAAGGAAATTTCAGTGCTGCTAACGCAGTGGTTTGACTTCACCTCCAGAGGTACACTCCATTGCCTCTCCAGACAAATGGATTCCATCAACAAAATAAATATGTACTCAATGGCAATTATGTTATTATTATTACTTATTAAATTTATGCAGTGCAGGAGAATGGACAAGGAGGGTGGTGATTAGCCATGTCCTGCAATGCCAAACACTCCCTCCACCAGCTATTTCCTCCCCCAGTCAGGCTTTAACTTCCTTCCGGAGGGCCTGTAAGACAGAGCTATTCCACCTGGCTTTCAATATGAACTTAGCCTGATCTTTTATTCCCCTTCATTCCCTCCCTCTCCCCCTTTTTATGAAGATTACCCGCTCTGGGATCCCACAGCTAATTCTCTCCTGGTCTCCTCGCTGGCCCAAATAGGACTAATTTAGCCAGCTAGCCCTGGTGATCATCTAATGTTTATTGAATGGATTTTCCCCCTAAATTGATTTTTGAATTCTGAATTTATTGTTCTTCACGTTTTTTACTGTATTTTATGCTGGTTTTTGTTGCATCAATTGAGTGTTTTAAATTTGTTGTGCCTGGATTTCTGAACTGGGAAGGGCGGGGTATAAATAAAAAGTTAATATTTATTTATTATTATTATTATTTAAGACTGGAACCAAGCCTGACCTAGGAGATAAGGATGAAACAACTATGAGAGCAGGCTATGGGGACAGCTGATGATTGGTGGTAGGGTTAAGCACCCCCCCTGCTACTGACTCCCCCTGCAAATTCTCCCTTGCTTCTGCAATAGCCAGGAAACATAATGGTTTGTTGGCTTCTTCTTTTTCTTGTAATGGGGAGATGTGCATTGCAGAATAATGTGCTGCTCCTTCCTTGGTCGAAGAGAAATGCCGGAGAACGCCAACAAAACAACTGGTGATGAATAGCTGCGAAGGGAAGCAAAGAGGGAGCCTGATTAAAACAAAACAGGGAATGAAAGAGAGAAATAGTCAGAGGGGGGTGAGGGAAACCAGGGACCCTGCAGAGGTTTAGAAGACAGCATGCTACAAAGCAAACCATCAATCCACAAATAGCCCTGTATGGACGCCAGATGCCTGGTCTCTCTCTCTCTCTTTCTCTCTCTATATTTATTCTCACCAGTGGTGCTAACAACTAATAAAAAAAACCCCAGGTGCAAAGTACCCAAGTAAATAGATTCTAGAATGGTTGAGGCAAAAAACAAAAAAACCCAGGAAATAATATAATAAGCTTCCTGCTAATGCATGTTAGCTCCCGTTGCCCTTTATTGACAAAGCAATCCGATGGCTTGTTTCCACAACCTTCCTCTTCAATGGAGTAAGAACTTCTGGGGTAAAGAATTGATTCATGGGCTCACAGCTGCTCCTTGCAACCCATTCCCCCCAGTCTGAAACAATTTATTTCTCTCTTTCTTTATGACCCCTGTCCCCAGTGCATAATTAGCGGATGGAATTCCTGGCCGCAGGCTTCAATCATTTTTACAAAGGGAGTCAACAGATGTGTGGTGGTGAAGGCTACAGTGGAGCTTCCATATGCAAAGGCAATGAATTGTATTCAGCTAAGTCCTACGCAGAGTAGACCGATTGAAATTAATGACTGGGATAGTTTAATCCCTGGCATCTCCAGGAAGAACAGAGAAAGGACCGTGTCTGAAATCCTGGATAATTGCTGCTACTTATTGTAGACCAGCCTTCCTTGGTCTGGTACCTTAAAGATGTCGCTGGTCTACAACTCCTGTCACCACTGGCCATGCTGCTGTGGATGATGGGAACCGTAGTCCAAAACATCTGGAGAAAATCAAGTTGGGGAAGTCTGGTGCAAACAGTTTTGAACTAGGTGGGTCAATGGTGTGGCTTGGTATAGCATAGTCTCCTATAAAGCTCCTCAAAGCTCACCTCTTTTATGAAGACCTTCTGGAACTGTCACAACTTACTCTCACCCACTTCTTTTTTCATTACCCCCAACTGTTCTCTATCACTTTCACCCTTAGCTCCTCCAAAAGAGTGTTCAGGCTCAATCAATCAACCAGTTATCTCAACAGGAACTGACCTTGATTTTGTAATCATCATCTGAGGTCCTTTTTCATGTGCCTCCTCCACAAGACGTCCAGACTGTGGCAAGAGGAGAAAGGGCCTTTTCTGAGGTGGCTTTCCATTTGTGAAATGCCCACCTGGTGCTTTGGTAACATACCATTAGGCATCAGACAAAAACAGTCCCCTTCTCCCAGGCTGTTGGCTAATTAAACAACCTATGACTTTTTAAACTGGGGGTGGTATTATTTATGTTTGCAACTATGTTATGTATTTTTGTGTTCTTATATTGTAAACCACCTTATGATCCTCAGATGAAGGATGGTACAGAAATTTAATAAATCACCCTCATTCTCCTCATCATTTTATATTCCTCTTCCCTGCCAAAATTTGCTCTTAAAGTCACTTACAGTTAAGATCCTGTGACCCCTTGGGGGGTGACCTGGGGGCCACATTTGTCCCTGGCTCTGAAGTTTCCCATCCGTACCCAGCAGGTAGCCTAAATAAATACTTCTCTCCCCTCCCACCAATCTCCCTCTACATAAGCAGTCCTTTTGGAAAGTTGGCAATTATTATAATAAACGTGAACCCCACATTTCTGCCTTCTGCTCTGCAAAGCAGAGGATTGATTTAAATGAGCGATTCAACAGATATGCAGCCTGCATTCTTTAAAAAAAATTGAATTAAGCTAAGGAGAATACTTTATTCATTTTCTCTTTCAATCTCGCTTGCAGGGCTGTCGGGAGGGGGGCGCCGGTGCTGCAGGGAGGTAGTGTACACAACTTGGTAATTACGAAGCCAAGCATGAGGAATTATCTAAATTACAGACAAGACATGTAAGGAATAAAGAACAAAGGGTTCTCTGGATGATCATCTTCTAGTAGCTAGCGAGGAATAATGCTGTGAAGTGAATGAGCGTCAGGGAAGAACTACAGGAAAATGGGAGAGAGGGAAGGGAAAGCGGGTAAAGACATTAAAATGAACATGCCTAGTCAGATCATTGGGTCCATCTAGCTACATGTTGTTTACATTGACTGGGAGCAGCTCTGCTTGATTTAAGATAGGGAACATTCCCAATCCAGGGATCGAACCTGAGACCTTCTGCATGCAAAGCAGATCCTCTACTAGCTGAGCTATGGCCCTTCCCCTGAACAGGATTCATGCTGATTTCGGATTTCTTCTCATGGGAAACCAGAATGGCCTGAAGGAAGCATCAATGTGTTTGTTACAGAGTATAAAGGATAAAAACAAGTATTGCTTGAAAAACACAAATTGAAATACGTTGTTGTTGTTGTGTATTCGTTTAGTCGTGTCCGACTCTTCGTGACCCCATGGACCAGAGCACGCCAGGCACTCCTGTCTTCTACTGCCTCCCGCAGTTTGGTCAAACTCATGTTGGTAGCTTTGAGAACACTGTCCAACCATCTCGTCCTCTGTCATCCCCTTCTCCTTGTGCCCTCCATCTTTCCCAACACCAGGGTCCTTTCCAGGGAGTCTTTTCTTCTCATGAGGTGGCCAAAGTATTGGAGCCTCAGCTTCAGAATCTGTCCTTCCAGTGAGCACTCAGGGCTGATTTCCTTAAGAATGGTTAGGTTCGATCTTCTTGCAGTCCATGGGACTCTCAAGAGTCTCCTCCAGCACCATAATTCAAAAGCATCAATTCTTCGGTGATCTGCCTTCTTTATGGCCCAGCTCTCACTTCCATACATCACTACTGGGAAAACCATAGCTTTAACTATACGGACCTTTGTCGGCAAGGTGATGTCTCTGCTTTTTAAGATGCTGTCTAGGTTTGTCATCACTTTTCGCCCAAGAAGCAGGCGTCTTTTGAAATATGTTGGCATATAAACAGAAACGTTAGGAAGGCTGAAGACTCCAGGGTTTGGCTCCAGGTCTTCCAGGTCCTCTCCAAAGCCAGGCCAAATAGAAACATCTCAGTTCCCTCAAGAAGGAACTTGGCTAGGCTAGCTTCCGAGCAGGTGGGTTATTGTCACTTACTGGAAGGGAGCGAGGGAGAGGCAAGGTGGCAGGGAGCTTGGCACAGTGCAAAGGCGCTGGCAGGAATGCCAAATTGGCTCTGCTGTTGTGTTGCACAGCGCTCACCTCCCTACCACCTCCTCTTCTCCCGGTAAACAACAGTGACCCACCTGCCACGAAACTAGCACAGTGACTCTGCTTCTGCTTTTAACTCCTGTAGGTTTGCCAAATGTTCTTCTTTAGGTCTGCCTTTAGCAGTGGTTTAAAATGGAGAAACTTGCACGCAAATCTTTTCATGAAACAATGTTAAGCAGCAGTGGGACAGTCTATCCCTGAGGATATTACACAACCAGTTGCGCTGTCCACCAATAAGCTCCCAGGCCAGGCTTCCAGGCTTAAGTTTTTGGTGTTGACATATAAAACCATAAACAACTTGGGGACCAGGATACTTGAAGGAGCTCCTTTCTCTGCACCTGTGGTGGAGAATCTTTGTGGCTCCACAGGCCAGATCTTTATCAGGAGTAGCCTTATGGTCCGCGTGGACATCCCTAGTAGCGTCTGGTAGATCTCGGAAATATAGGAGTCTTTAACTCGTCTCTCCTCCCCACCTCCCACCCCAACTGGTAGAACACAAAGGTTCAATCTCCAGGTAAATTTGTTGGGAGTCTGGCGAATTCTGTTCTCAGATCACCTCTCTCTGTAACAAAGAGGTGAGATATTATAGTTCTGGACCGTTAATGTTAATGGTCAGATCTTTATCTGTTGCTCTGATTAACTTCCCACAGTGCATTTCCATCACTAGAAATTAAACAGTGTTAAAAAGGCTGTCAGGAACAATAGGAAAATGAAAGGCAAAAGGAAGTTGCAGCCTTCACGATTTTTTTATCATGCTTTATGATTCCCCATTCATTCTCTCCAGTTTCTAACTCTGGTCCTTATTTCCTCCACAGACCCCCGCTTAAGGTTTGTGTTAAAAATGCAGGCTGCTTTAACAGCCTGTTCTGTGATTCTGAGGAGACAGTTTGTTGGGAATGAGTTAAAGAGGTAAACAGGAAAAGGGATGTGTATAAACAGTCTGATGAGCTGACCAAGGTAAAAGAAAAAGGGGGAAAAAAGCAGATTGAACTGTGCTGCACAGTGATTTATCACTCTGACTCTCACATTTTCCTCCCAAGGAACTCAAAGCATCTTCTGCTTATCTCAAGTAGTCTCCCATCTGGACGACTTTTGCAGAATGCCCTGCCCTTGCAGAATGCCAGACAAACCATAAGAATCCAGACAACTTTTATGGAATAGCCTTCCTTTGGAATCTCCCTTGGCACTAGCAATTAATCATTTTGGTACCCACTTCCAAGCTACAGCAGGTCTGGTGAGTTTCCCAAGGGGTCTCAAGGGTGGCAAATAGGACACCCCTCAGCTCACAGTTCTTTCTCTGGCCTCTGCCCACTCCTCTTCCTAGTAATGGTGACATCTTCTTCCCTCCCTTTCTTTCTTCTTCTAATCAAAGTTGAGCATCTAAGGCTCAACTCTAGTTTGATCCCTAGTATTGGTTTGGCATTACATGTGAATCCAGCACCCTTCCTTTTGGTTGTATGACTGGCCCACCCCAAACCCTTACCACACTATGAAATAACAAAAGCTGAAAACAACAAACCAGGAATCTGAATAACAGTGGATCTTTACAATGTAATACAGAGGTTTTTCTTAGCCCTGCTTCCTGCCTAGCCAAACTTCATGAGAACCTTTAGCTGGAGATGCCAAGATTGAATACGACCTTCTCACCCTGGAATGAGGAAGCTTTGTTGGAATGCAGAGTCATGCTAGGAGAATGCCTACAAAACCTTCAGAAGACTGTTTGTAGTTAATTAAATATTTGACTTCTTCCTCCTTCCTGTGCAGGGGTGCCCTTTAAAAATACAAAAATAGCATGTGATAATTTCATTGGAAATGATCATTGTCACTCGATAATGATGATCTCCTGCTGCAAAGACAAATGCCACATATATATATATTTTAAAAAGAAAATAAATATTACAGAGATGCTTAGGCATTTTGATTGCAAGGAGAAGGACACCTCCAATTCCAATTCCAGATAGGATATTAGCTGCCTGCCAAGCCAATTACACCAAAACAATATAGCAATAATTAAAAACCCAATGTGGAACAAGTCTAAGAAGCAGAAAACAAAGCTGGTCATTGTATTGAGTCACTTATAAACCAGATGCCGAAAAGTCCGCTATCTAGCAAGCTGAATGGTGCAGAGTGAGGAGGTAAGAGATGTTTTTCTCCCTCTCTGATAATGTTAGAACTTGGAAGCACACTACTGAATTAAGAGCATAAGAACACAAAAAGAAAGTGGCCAGCATCCTGTTCTCTCAGTGGCCAACCAGGTGTCTGTAAGAAGTAATTCCTTTCCTGCAGTTTCCGACAATTGGTTTTCAGAGAAGCATGCTGCCTCTGGCAGGGGAGGTAGAACATACCCAACAGTAGCCACTGATTAGTCTTAAATCCACAGTCTTTTTAAGACTTCCAAGTCAATGGTCACAACTGCCTCTTGTAGGGATGAATTCCATAAATTTGTACACTGTGAAAAAGCACTTCCCTTTGTCTGTCCTGAATTGCAACGTAACCTGCAACTCAGTTTAAACACATGCAACGAAAACTCACAAACCACTTCCCTGCTTAACCCTGCCTCCTTTTCCTCCCCCTCCCCCTGTAAAGGGACCCGAAGGTCTCAGAATTCTGCAGTGGAGTTATGATCCACCTGGATTGAATCAGGTGCACCTGCTTTGGAATCCAGGTTCTGAGGGTTCTCCCCAGATCCCTCACCCATCCAAAGCCAGCACAAATATAGAGAAACATTTGTATTCCCCCCACCAGTCAGAGTGGGTGTCGGAAGCAGGGAAACAATAAGGCACAAGGTGACAGTGAGGTTAATTATTTATTCCAAGAAACAATACAGCTCAGGCCTAGTGAGCTCAGCAACTCTTCCCAGTAGAGGCAGTTGCAAGGACTGAAGGTCCTTTCCATAGCTGCCTAAGTCTCATCCTCCCTCAGGTCCTTGCCAAGCAGTCTGAGACTCTGACCCCTTGTCTGTTTCTGCTCTGCTCTCTGCCTACCTCTTCTGGTTCTGGGAGACCAGGGTAGAGGGGAGCTGGTCACAGCAGGAGGGAAGACTCCCTGACTTCTTAAGCATCCTGCTTCACCTCTGCCTCTTGCACCCCTCCTCTCCAGCCTCTGCTTCTGGACTGCTCTCTCCACAGCCTCTTCCTGCTCACTAAGCCCTGTTCCCTTTTCAAACACCTCCTTCTCCCAGTCTGATCCCTCTTCTTCCTCTGAGCACTCAACACCAACCCCTGGCTTTGAGCATCATGACACCCCCCATTCCACTGTGTTCATCAAGAACCAAGAAGACAGCTTTGAGCATAAGCGCATGCACCACTGCACATCTCTTTGCGAACTGCACATTACCTGTTATTATTTCAGTCCCCGGCAGATTTTCTGATCCTATTACTTTGGAAATGACTAAGGGAAACGGTGATATTGGCTGCCCCCTCCCTTTCTGCAGTCCTATTGCCATCAGTAGCCAGTGAGGGAGCAGGCGAAATGGAGGACTCAGAGGAGAGTGGCATTCTCTGCTTCTCGTCCACTGCAGTCAAGGTGTTTTATATGGTCATTTGTAGTTTGGGCCATAAAAACAATGGAGCATATAATAAGGAGTCTCCGTTTCATTGAACGAGACCTTGAAGCTACTGTGAGGAAGTTCTTTTGGAACATTGCTGTGATGCAGCGATTACTTTTGGTTAAGCGAGTGAGCAATCGGGGAACAGGGATGGGCTCATTGTTGAAGTGCACCAGTGCCTTTGGCCTACTTTTCTCGGTACTTTGGGCAGCTAAAGATCCCTGCACTTAAAAACAGTCGACTTTCCAAGCTGAAAAGGTTCTTGATAAATGCCACTCTCTTTTCCTTACCGTGTCAGCAAATAACACTGTTGTTCCCCAGTTTCTCTCTCTTTCTCTTAGCCATCTGCATGTCAGTCACAGGGTTCACCAGCATAGCACCTGTTGGCATCAATGTGCCTACCAGTTCCTCCTCTGGCAACTTGAGCATGGTTTAACCATGGACTGGTGACATACAGATAATCAATAGGGATCAGTGCCGG